GAGCCGGGGCGTCTCCAGCTTTGATGACAGCTCGGCACTTTTCTTTTTACAGCAGACTAAATAAACAGCAGCAGACGCTCAGGAGCTTTTCTTCTGTCACTTTAACAACAAATGAAACGAGCAGAAACCAGAAGCAGCCTCCGAGCTGCTGATTTGATTTGAGGGTTAGAACGTGTTGCCCCAAAGGATATAACAGGAGAAACACACAAATAAAAACATCTTTCTTCACCTCCTGGCTTTTGGCAGATCCTCCTGAAAGAAAGAAAAACCACAAATGTGACAGCTGCACGTTACATTCATGGCCTCACCTGCATCTTGTTTATTATAAAGAAACATTGAAATGTTCCCTCCTGTAAATCTGGCCTCGTAGCTTCTCGTTAATGGCAACAACTGAGGCTGCGAGGGATTTGTGCTGATGTGTCCATACTTCATAGGAGCAGGGGGAGGACAGGAAGTGGGCAAAGAGGAGACAGGAAGGCTTGAGAAGAGTCATAAAATGAAAGATGAAAAGAGGGAAGAATGTCTCCTTTTCTGCTGTTCATGTCTTTGATGAAATCAGAGTGAAATGCAAAAAACAAACCAGCCTCCAACGGAGAAGCAAAGGTTTCAACACAGACTTTGATACATGTAGGTGAGGAATCTCACCTGACACAAACTAGAACAACTTCAACGATGGAAGGGGATGCACACTTAACCACATATAAAACTGACATTTTAAAAGTTTGCATATCTGGGTTTATCTATTAAACCAAAGTACAGTGCAGTAACTTAATATATTTCATGTTCAAATGCATGTATAACAGTTATACTCTTACCTCTTGAGCCCCGTGCCCCCAGTACTGGGGGCAAAACAGTTTTTTTTCCCGTTTTCTATTTCTTTTAACTTCTGTTAACTTCAGATCAGTCAGTTGAACCTGGACATGTTTGGTATCAAAATAAACCTAAGAATCTTGGCTAAAAGCTCATGGAAACTATTTTTATATTCATTGAACACACTTCAAACGTCAAGCAGTTGAATCATAAAGTAAACAAACTATAAAATGGCATCAATGCAAATCTGTAAATACGTTACAACAAATCTGTAAAGGAAACATTTTTGACATTTTTTAAGCAAGTCAAAGTAGAAACCTAAATATGTTGTAAAGTCTGAAAGTTTTTTATTAACTTGATTTTGAGTGAATCTGATCCAACTGAAGTCAAATATAATTTCTCATTATTTTATATAATAT